CAGCCTATTTGTCATTCTCAAAAAAAGCCCAGTGGTCTATCAAAGAACAGGAGGCTGCAGGTTGGCTAGGAAACAGGGCAAGATGGGGAGTGGGCCCAGAGCATCTAGCCATACCCAGAATGGGTCAGTGCCCTCCGACCAGCTGTCCAGTAGAATTTTCTGCCATGATAGATGTGGCTAATGAACACTTGAAATATGGCTAGGGCAACGAAGGAGTTGAATTTGCAAGTTGATTTAATATTTATTAGTTTCATGGCCACATATGGCTAAGTGGCTGCTGTATTGGACAGTGCAGCCTCAGACCAAAGAGAAGCCCAGCAAATCCAAGAGGCCCCTCTTTCTGTCCCTCTACTGTGAAGCTCATTTCTCTGCCTCCTTGATCCCTCCATGGCAGTTATTATGCTCAAAGACAGAGAGGCCAGTGACATGACCCCTCAGAGCATCCACTGAGCTCTAACACACCCGAGCTTAAATACAGAAAAGTCTCAAGAGCCGCTTCTCTTTGTCTCTTGCAAAGATCCATGCATCTCTCCGTTTAAAGATTATTTATCGAATACCATAGACCGGAGAGACAAAGATAAATGACGAGCCTCTGCCCTTAAGAAGTTTACTGTTTAAATTCCACAGAAGGAGCTAGAAGGAGAGCCGGTGGAAACCCAGCTCCCTTCTTCATTCCTTGTAATGAGATTCTGGGCGAACCCATCTTGCCTTCTGGCTAGAAAAAGAGACTTTCCTCTCCCCAGGTCCCGGTGGCCTGGCAAAGCCTCACATTCTTCCTAAGCTGTGAATTCCAAGTACGCCTCAGTTTCTAACGTTTCCGTAAGCAAAGTCGCAAGATCTGGGCCACCCAGTTTTCTCTGAAGTTTGATTATGAGGTCAAGGTAGAGTGGGAAACAACCACCAGCCCCAGACTGGGCTGTTAATGGTGCCAGGGTGTGACTGAGAGCCCCAGGGAGGGAGGTCAGATTGCAGGGAGCAGCAGGTCCCGGACTAGACCCACCCATTGACTAGACGCACCCATCGCTGTGACTGGGGAGCAAGGTGGGATCAGAACGCTTCTTAAGGCACATGCCTGGTTCTGCTGCTAAAGCATCCTGCCCCTGAAAGAAAACAGTGTCAGCAAATGGGCATGTTGGAGAGAGTGGTGGAAACTGGCTCTGCACCCAGATGCCCCCTGTGTTTGCTGCGGCACGAGAATGGGGTAGTCCTCCAGCCGGTGTTCGTATTGCTAGAGAGAGGGTCCACATACCCGTCTGTGCCTCAGCGGATGCTGCTGCATCGGTGTGGATGGGCAGTGCCTCATGAAGGAAGGGTGAATGAGTTGGCCACCTTAACATGACAGGGGCTGGGGCCATCAGAGAGCCGGGTGGCGAGACTGGGGTTAGAAGTCAGAGCAGAATCAGAACCCACCCCCAAAGGTAAACAGAACAATATGATAGCCCTCGCTTCTCAGTCATCGATAAGATCTTGGACTTAAAGGAGGGAACGATACTGAGCATTCCACACTTCCCGTCCTCTTTCGAAATGACATTTAGAGATGGAAAAGGAGGTCCCAGATGTGTTTCACTTCTTTCTCTGATCACTTTTCAATGGCAGATGAAAGAAACAGCAGGAAGTTGGGCACAGGTCAAGCTTTACCCCCTCCCCTGGCCTCCAGTTCTCACACCTGCCTTCTCCACCTTCCCCTCACCTGGGTCCTTTCCAGTCCTCGCTTGTCCGTCTCCCCAACTCTTTAAATACGTGATGCAGACACACAGAGAGAGGGAGAGGGTTTGGATGGTTATCAGAGAAACGGGAGAGGGAGGCACACAAATTCCAGATTTCAAAATGACTTACAGTCCCTAGCAGTAAGCATGAGTAGCATGTGTGGCCAGCAATCTCTTCCGCCACCTACTGGCCGTGTGGAGGTATCGACCTGTTCCGCACACAAGTTCCAGCACCCACTGCACTGTTGAGTTCCTCCAATTGCTGTTCACCTGCAAGGCAACCTCACTAGGAAGTCCTTTCCCATATCTCACCTAAATCCCTTCTGCAACCTCGGTCCATGTTCTCTTGATGAAATAACTCAGGAGCTGCCAGTCTACTCATGCCTTCATGTTCTATCTAAAACTTAAACCTTTCCCAGATTGAAAGCCAATTTACGATTTGGCCGCACAGTAGCTGAGTGGGGCTAGGAGGCTCTGGTATTCTAGCTGGAGGCCAAGGCTCCAGGCTTTTAATCTCTGTGGCTCTGCACTGGTTCCGCTCCAAGTTTCCACTGTCTCTCTCGAGCCTACAGGTGACCACAAGCCCCTGATTAGTATCTTTGATACTCGACTCTCCCCGCTGCCTAAGTAATAAGTCCCATGGGGTTAAGTGGCACCAAAAACTGGGAGGCACATCAAAACTCGTAGGCTGCCTTTCAGAAGCAGCTAGAGAGCCAGCACAGTGTGGAGGGTATGCCCTTGGGAGCCCCGCCCTGGTGAGACCCCAGGAAGGAGAGAGGGTTTGCAAACATGTTTTGAGTTCTTAAAGAGGGAGAATGCAGGAATCTACATTTTGTTTTTCAGCATCAACATTGCTTGGCCCCAAGGCCATCCTTGAACACTATCAGAACTAAAAGTAAATTTGCCCCAAAGTTCATCAAACCATTAACAGCCCCACCTTCCTCCCAGGAAGGGGGACTCCGAGTTAAGAGCAACCCACAGCACTTCTTCTAAGGAGTTCTAAAGACAAGAGTCTTGGGATGAGCTGTCGCTACACACAGGGCTGTGAGCCAACATGCCTCTGTGTCCACCAAGGCCAGAGAGAGGGTCTACACCCTTCTTCCATGCACTGGTCAGCACCCTGTCCTCTCGTCCTCTTCCCCTCATTTCATCTGATTACAGTCTTGATTAGGAAAGGGCTGTGACCGTGCTCCGCCAGAATGCTCCCAGCCTTTCGATGGCAACCATCTCTTGCCTTCTCCCCTTCCCTAGTGGTCAACTGCTTTTTGAGAATTAAAATGTTTGGCGATGCCCAGAGAAGTTTAGTGAAATGCCGTGTCACTCAGTAAGGCGAGCTCAGCAACCCTTCCATGCCATAGTTAGCTTTTCCTCTCCTCAGCCCCTCTCCCCAAGACCTGAGCCTCGAGTTCGGGCTTGAGTTACTAGGTAACGGAGCCCTAGCCGGTCAGTCTGTACAGAGTCCCCCAAACCAGTTAATACTCCTCCCTGCATCCCATTCCATTCTAGCTCATCCCACAACTGAGAAAAGTCGGTTTACCCCAAAGCATCACTCTTTTCTGCTAATTCCTAGAAGGCTGCATTCCACTGACCAGGCACATCACCATGTCGATGAATCATCACAGAGGTTTTGATACAGTCGAGACAGAGCAGCGTGGAGACGTGGTGGGAAGAGGGAATGAAAGGCCAAACGTGGGGGATGGGGATCCTGGCGTTGACTTTGGTTCAGGGAGAGCCTGTCCACGGCTTTGCTATTTGCTTTCTCCCTGTCATCTTCCTCTCCAGTGACCATGTCTTTTCCTCTCCTATGGATAAATGCCCAAATAAGCTAACCACCCAGAATACTGCAAACCTGTGGAGGCTTCTTCAGGGCGGGGAACTTCCTTGCCAGGGCCTTAAAGACAGGATACCCGTTCAATTAAATGTGACAAATCCTAAGCCAAGAGACAAACAGGTGGCTTGGGTGCTTCCTGCCACCTGCCATCCTGACCAGGTTTGGCTAGGTCTCCAAATACCTCCCTTAACACACACCTGGGACTTCCCCTGGGTAGAGAGCACCTGCCCCAAGGACATAAAAGAGTTTTCTCACCCAGCTTCTCTCCCTGCACCGCCCCTTATCCCTACCTCCTCGGACTCCTTCTGTTTCCCACCCCAGGACCTTGCCGTTGGGCTTCTGGGTAGCCCAGTAATAGCTGAGTGGGTGGAGCATAGGATTTTCCTGCACCTCATCTGAGTTATTTGGAGGCCACCTCAAAGCCCTATTTTCTTTTTCTAGAATTTAAAAAGAAGACAATGAAGGCAGGCCTCCCTGCCCCCGCCCGCCCCGCCCCGCCCCAGGTCTCACTGTGGGCACCCCGGCCACACCCTGCCCCCCTGGGAAGAGCAGGGGAGACCTCAGATCTGGGTCTGCCTGGCCCGGTGGGGTCAAGGAGCTGAGAAATGGGGCCCAGAGGAGCGTGCCTGTGAGATAAGATTTAATGGAAATCTGTGGGCCAAGAAAAGGTTGGGCAGGTGAAATTAACAGATCAACAAATAAATGAACAAAATCCTGCTTCTTTAAAGGTCATAAGTGAGCTAAATATAGACTGTCACCAAGTCACTCCTATATATAACCACACCAGTCCCAGCCAGCTGTCAGCCTTTCTTGGCCTGGAGCTGAGTTACGCACCATCCTATCCAGGGCCCAGAGCACAGAACCAGCTCAGAGCCGGCTCTGGGTTCCACGTCCCTCCCACCTCACTGTTCCTTCCGGGCCCCACATTTCCAGTTTTCCAGGACCCTCTTCCTGTTCTTCGTGATGGTCCCCTCCCCCCAACCCCCAACATCACCCTAATAGCCCAGACGCCAAGAACCCTCCCACCTCCGGTTCCCCAGGTCCAAATAAATCTCAACTCCGATGGTTCTCAAAGCACAAAGTCTGTAGACCTGGCCTTTCCTGTCCGGCCCTGGCTGTTCCCTATTGTCTTCTAACAGCTGAGATCTCCAAGTGGTGTTCTTATATGCAGCCCCGCCCCCATCTACTTAAGCAGACCCCTCCACCCCCTACCCCCACAGCAAGCAAGCCCCTAAAGATGGCCTGAGCTCTCCGGTAGACCCCTTCCTGCCCCTAGAATGTCCTCTCAGCCCTGTCTAACTTGCCCTTATCAGCTTGAGTTTTTCAACACTCTCCCACGTTATGAAATCTTACTGGACTTGCTCTATTGGACTCACCCGCCACCACCCCAACCTCCCTCGGAGCCTTGGGCTCTGCAAGTCTGTGTCAGCCGTAGAGGCTCACTCTCCACTGCCTCCCTGCAGAGAGAGACTCCCAGGAGCGTGAGGACCCCACCACCTCTGAGATGGCAGAGGAGACCTACTCCCCCAAGATCTTCAGGCCCAAGCACACGCGCATCTCCGAGCTGAAGGCTGAGGCTGTGAAGAAGGACCGCAGAAAGAAGCTGACCCAGTCCAAGTTTGTGGGAGGAGCCGAGAACACTGCCCACCCCCGGGTTATCTCTGCACCTGAGATGAGACAGGAATCTGAGCAGGTGAGTCTCAAGGGTTCTTCCCCATCTCCCTCTGCATCTGCGGTGGCCCCAACTTCTGACTTTTCCCTGCGTCTAAATGCGCATTCGTGGCAGTAGGAGATGCTTAGGCTAGACTGAGCGACGGACCTACCACTTGCAATGGAGAATTTTTAGAGCTTCGGTTTATCGGGGCCCAGGGCTTGTCTGAATGAGCAGGAAAGTGCCAGCCAGCCACAGCGAGCCCGGAGCACGCGCCAGCTGTGCCAGTGACCCTGAGCGGCGTCCTCTCCGTGGCGGAGGCCACCCCCCACCCCTCCCTTCTCGGCAGCACCGAAGAACTTAGGGCGGCTGGTGTGGAACACAGATGGGGCAGTGTGCTTCTGCACCTGGTCAAAACGCAGCTTTTGCACACTTTACACACCCAGGACACGTGACAGGTGAGAGAAAGGAAAGATCTTTGGTAGCAACGAATTGGAACAAAAGGTGGTGACTTCCTCCGCAGACCCTTTAGTCCCCACGCCCCGGGCCCCGCGTTCTGCGCCTCTGGGTGGTGTCCACCTCCGCCCTGCCACACCTCTCATCCTTCCGTCCGCACACAGGGCCCCTGCCGCAGACACATGGAGGCGTCCCTGCAGGAGCTCAAAGCCAGCCCACGCATGGTGCCCCGGGCCGTGTACCTGCCCAACTGTGACCGCAAAGGATTCTACAAGAGAAAGCAGGTACGTCCCCACGCGGAGCCTCTAAGTTCAGCGGGCTTCCGAAAGCGTAAGCGCACTCGCCAGGAAACCTCTAAGTGGTACTTAGCTTATTAAATCGGTCCACATTATCATAAGGTGATGGTTCCCAGGCTTCTTAGGGCATCGGAATCACCTGGCAGGCTTGTTAAAACTAACCACTGCCCGCCGCTCTCCCCAGAGTGTCTGACCAGTAGGTCTGGGGTAGACTCTGAGAACTCTGCATTTTTAACGGGTCTCTCCCATGTGGCCCTGATACTCTCTAATGGCACCCCTCAGGTAAGTTAGGGGTCCAGGGCCAGACAGCCTTGGTTCACTTCTTGGCTCTCCCACCGAGTAGCTGTGCCCTCTCACCCCGGTCATTTAACATCTCTGCCTCCGGTTTCTCATGTAAAATGGAGAAGAGTTGTACATACTGTTCTCACACAGTTATGAGGAATAACGGGCTAATCTCTGCAAAGCCCTTAGAACAGTACCTACTGTATAGTATTAAGTAGTAGTGCTGGCGCATGGTGATGGTGCAAGTGATGCCTCCTGTCGCTATTTTATTATTAATCATCATCATCATCATCATATTATCAAATCACGTAGCTCTCCGGAGAATGCCAAATAGGAAGACCCTGAATGGATGACGTAAAAAAGAGGTTATAGGAGGTAGCCAAGGGCAGACTACCTAAATTAGCCTTTTCCCTGGCCCCTACACATGCAATGGGGACAACAGAACCCCAAGGATTGGATGCAGCCCCCTCAACTCTCTAGGGGTGAGAGAGAGTCTGTCTTGGGGCGGGAAGAAGAAGGGCCGGGCAGGAACAGAGCCTTGGGGCACGGCCATCCTCAATGCCTGTCGCCCTCCCCGCCCCCAGTGCAAGCCTTCCCGTGGCCGCAAACGTGGCATCTGCTGGTGTGTGGACAAGTATGGGATGAAGCTGCCCGGCATGGAGTATGTCGACGGAGACTTTCAGTGCCACACCTTCGACAGCAGCAACACTGAGTGATGCGTCCCCTCCCCCACCCTGTCCTCACCCCATCCCACCCCCCAGCCCCGACTCCAGCCAGCGCCTCCCTCCACCCCAGGACGCCACTCATTTCATCTCATGTAAGGGAAAAAAAAAAAATACATATATCTATCTATTTGAGGAAACGGAGGACCTCGGAATCGCTAGCAAGGTCTCAACTTCGAAAATGGCAACAACAGAGATGCGAAAAGCTAAGGAGATCCCCGCCCCCCCAACACCACCCCTGTGAAATGGTTTTCTTTTTGAAGCAAGTTGAATGAACAAGGAAGAGAAGAGAGGAAGGGCAAGCGAGAGAAGGGGCGAAGGCAAATGGGTAGAAGAGAGAGAAAGATGAACAGAGTTACGGGAAGGGAAAGAAACATGTGGGCAGGAAATAAAGATCGCGGGACTGTGGCTGGATCCACCTTTCATGAGCAGCCCTGGCCCAAGTCGGGGAGATGGTTGGGCACAAGAAAGGGTCGCCCAAGATGTGGCATTCGATGACGCACTTGGGATTGTCCCAGTTTAGACTGGTCACAGGGGGAGAAGGGAAAAGACAGGCGGTGTCAGTGCCTCGCCTGGATCTGTCTCCTCCTCCAGCCAGCATTTTGGGCGGCTCGAACCTCCCTTTCTCTCCTCTCGCCCCCGCAGAGTGTTCTAAACACCCCTCCCCCCAAATTTAGAAAAACTGAAATGCATTCCATTCCCCTCAAAACAAAACGAATTAATAAGCGAGCGATATGAGATAGATAGGTTTCCCTAAGCAGATTCTTAAGTATGGAGTCTATGTGCATATTTCACCCTCCATGCAGACTTTTAGAAATCAGTACACACCCCAACTGTGGAAAGACTTGTTTGTCCTGGGTCACTAAAACTACCACTGAAGCGTGTAGTTTCGGCCCCTCAATGCATTCAATTCCCAGCTAGCACAGCCTCTGTGAGGGAGGATAGGCTGAAAAAAAAAAAAAACGTGGGCTTGTATTTATCTACAAGGCTCCATATAGTCATATATAGGCATCTAAATCTATCTTTTTTTTTTTTTTCCTTTCTTACTTTAAAAGTTTGCATTAACTTTTCAATGTAGGTCTTATGGGGGCATTAAGGAGCTTCCTCATTCTGGGCAAACCAAGAAAATCCATATTATTCTAACATGACCCATACCATCAGTTTTGCCTGCCTCCCATGAGCAGCAAACTCAACTCTTTGTGGGACACAGTGTTGGACTCTTTCATGATTTTCCATGCGCACGTGTGTTCCGGCGTGCCACCCAGCCAGATGGCTGAGGTCATTCACTGCGCACCCAGCATGCTCCCCAGCGCACCTGGCCTTCAGACCCACCAGAAGAAACTGTCTCTGGACCCCTTACTAAACAAGCCCACCAGGTCCAAGTTTGACCTGCTGGTCCTGCCCAGCCTTTGCATTCTCTCTGGGCAGAGCCTGCATTTTGAAAGCCTCTCTCACTCTTCACGCTGGCAGAGCAGGAGAGAAACCGAAATGAGAGGTGGCAGACAGGGGAGATGGAGGCGGAAAGGTGTCGATACAGAGGAACGGTAAACGTGATTGTTCGGGCCAGAGCGGGTGGAGTGAAGGGACCGAGGGCTGGAGGGACGGAGGCTGACGGCCCCGTTCTGGCATTGAAGCAAAGCAACAGACTGGGGGACACGGGCAAGAGAAACTTCCCCATCGGCCCTCTGGGATTCGAGAGAAAGGAGAGAGGAAATGGGGGGACAGATTGTAAGAGAGAAACGAGCTGAATCCAGGCCGTAGAGCCAGGGAAGGTGGGTAAATTTAGGTGGTTCTAGACTCAGCAGCTGGACACAAGGATCCAGTAGAGACTGGTATTCGAAGGGATGAGATTACGTGTTCAATGGCCACCGAACCCCTGCAATGAGGGGCCGAGGCCGGAGAGTCTTTGAAGCTCTTCGTCCAGGCTGATCGGTTGAGATTTCCTCCCTGGGGTGGAGGATGGAAGAAAGGCTCCAGACGACCAGCGAATAGCTGCGTGGGAAGTGCTGTCACTTGGCAGCCACAGAAAAACCCCACGCTCCACCAGCTTCCTCAATGGACGGGGGGCCTTGAGGCTGTCTTCTGAGGCTGGAGATAGCCTGCCAGGAAAAGGGCTTGGACACTGGCAAGGAGACCCTTTCTCGCTGTGAACACAGCTCTTTCTGCTCTTTCCTGATGCCATGACACCGTGGAGACCACTCCGACACTGAACTTGGGGCAACGAAGAGGGACAGCAAAAAAGCAAATCTAATCCATAGCAGAAAACTTGCAGCTGCGGAACTTGAGGGATGTCCCCTCCTCCCCCGGACAGGACAGTTGGCTAGGGATGGGAGAGGTGGTCGATCTTCATAGGACAAAGGGCCTTACGGGAATGGCAGCCGCGAGGACTTACTTGGCCTGCTGCGTCAGCGCACCCCATCTCTGTGCAACTGTCCCCAAATGTCCGACTCACATTTCTGTGTCTTAGGCCAGTATCCTGAATCTTTCTCACTTCCCCCTTCTTTCTGCCCATTCTTCCTTCGGATCTTGAGCAGTCGTCTAACTGGGATCTGCCAAGTGGATACTGGGGCGCCATTCCCCCTAAGAAAAGACTGAGCCAGGAACTGCACATCCCACCCCAACCCCTCCCCAGACCTGGACCTGATTCCTGAGAGAGACTCTCTCTCCCGCACATCACTGTTTACGGACTTTGAATGGCCTCTGCCCCTTACATTGGCTCTTTGCTGTCAGCCGGAAGGCAGGGATTCTGGCCTGGTTTAACTGCATCAGTCCCACAGGTCTCCGAGGTTCGTGATGACTAACCCAAACCTGTAAGTCTCCCGAGCTTGCAGCGGGTGATTCTGGTCAGCTGGCCAATCCCTAGAGGACACTGGACCCTCGTGACAGATGGACCTAAACCGTTAGAAGAGGAGGTCTGGGCTGAGCCCAAAGTGGGGAGACCAGGGGGATGGAGTCACTGAGGAGGATGGAGCCCGTGCGGTCCGCTGGGCGGGGGAGAGGGAAGGCCGCTGTGGAGTGCTGCCCGCAGAGAAGTCCTGGGAGGCGTCGTCTCGCCTCCCAGCTGCCTGTTGGCCACTGATGGCTCACCTGGAGGCCTTAGGGCCCAGGTTTCCTGTGGCCTCTAGTCTAAGTGTTGCCCCGCTACAGGAAGTTTCTCCCCACCCCCCTTTCGACTCATGCCTCGCTCCAGCAGCACAGACTTTGCCAATCTTCGCCCACCGCTGCCAGATGATTGAGGGAGGTCCAGCCAGGACAGACCCTTCTTCCCCCAGAGCCACCTGACCCACCCCGGCAAAGCAGGGCGCCTGGGAAGGAAGAGACAGGAAAGTTTCTCAGACAGCCAGGCCTGCGCAGACAGGCCCGGAGACATTCAACCCCACACGGGCAGGAGGGGAGGCCCTGCGTGGTCCCACCACCTCGCCCCTCACCCATTCCCCATCGCCACCTTGGTGGTCTCCACTGTAGCCCTGCGGGGTCAGCCTCCTGCAGGGCCATCCTTTTCCCACCACCTAGCTCATTAGCAGCCACCAGGCTGCCATGGCAACCACCAAGCTCCCCTCAAGAGGGGGCAGTGTTCCCCCTCTCCGTCTGTTCAGCACCCCCCACCCCCAGAGGGCTCCGGCTCAGGATGGGGACTTCAGAGAGGAGTGGGCCAAGAACCCTCTGGCCTTAGAGAGGATATTTGTGGCTTCCAAGAGAAAGGAGGCTAAGTGCTGAGACGTGGGGGTTCTACCAGCCGGCAACCTGGGCGTTGTACTGTCTTGATTTTTGAAACCACTACAAGTGCAAGATGTATTTTGCACTTTTCTCCACTTTTTTTTTTCTCTCTTAGGTTTCGTGTCTTCTTCTTTTTTTTTTTTTTTAAACATACTTTCTTGGTTTTCTAATGGAGTACGTAGTTTAGCCATCTCCACAGACTCTGGCCTCCTCTCCTTAACTCCTTCCGGCTGGGGAAAAGGGAGGTGGAGGTGCCGGCTGCCCTGTGCCCCTCCGCCCGCTTCTCTGGTCCCCGGACACCAGCCTGAGTGCCACCTGCCACCACCACCGTCACACAGTAGCCCACATGGATAGACAGTTGTCAGACAAGATCCTTCAGATTCCGAGTTGCCTACCGGTTTGTGTTTTTGGTTTTTTGTTTTTTTGTTTTTTTTTCTTTTAAGACAGCAATAACCACAGCACATATTACTGTAGTTCTTGATAGTTTTACCTACATACATACCATAGCTCTATTTTCTCTTCTTTTTTGTTTTCAACTTTTTTTTTTTTTTAAATAAATGCTCATAATCTTTACTGGTGAAAAGGATGGAAAAAAACAAAGCAACAAACAAAACCAGTTTGTGGTGACAAAAAAAAAAAGCAGGAAAAAAAATCACCTGAATGCGGAAGAACTCGCCTCCTGTTTAGCATTTTGTACCTAAGGAAATAAAAAAAGAAAAAAAAAAAAACAGAAGATCTCACGTTTTATTAAAGTGAAGATTGCTGTATACTATTTATTCAACTTATAATTTATGTTACTCCTTGATCTTTGTCGTTTGTCATGACAAAGCATTTATTTAATAAAGTTATGCATTCAGTTAGCCTGCGTCAGCTTCCTCCGGGTCCCAGGGAAGGTAGGTGAAAGGTGAGGACACTCCTCAGGCCACACTCCAGGTGGCGGCAGGGCCTAAGGGACCCCGCAGACCCACACGCTCATCCAGAACTTGGGTTCCCCCATCTTGATCCCTTCAAAATTGTTTCAGTGAGTTAATGTACAAAACACGCTTAGAACAGGGAGTAGACAGCGCAGTTCAGCTACTGTTATTACGACTACTATTATTATTACTATCATTTCATCTCAGCCCCTACTATTAAATAGAGTGGCCTTAATCTACCCTTAAGCTAATGATGAGTCTCTTCTCCTTGGAAACAGTTTTAATGAAGGCATTTCTAGAATGTGCTTCAGTCACTTATTTTAGTGCCTGTAAGATCTTAACTCCTGAGAATCTCTGGCCAAGGGGAATCCTACCTCCCGCCCCTACCGGGCCCCACTGCTGCTTCCGCCCAGTGAAGAAGAAAGCTATGAAATGGCTAGTCTGATTTCAACCTTCTCGGGGCTTAAAGAGCGTAGATGACACATTTTCTTACCTTCTGCCTCATTCACACTGTTGTCATTCCTTCCTCCTACTCCCCTTCTTCTCTCGAGGTCTCTCAGTCTCCATGCCCCCTCTTCATCTGCGGAGCCCCAGCCTCTCACCCCCGCCCCCAGCCCCATGCACACTGCCCTTTGCGCGTCCCGCTGGCCGCACCCTCCATGGGCGCAGCAGTGGAGAGACGAGTTGGCAGCATCTCTCACTTTTTCCTGCCCGAACTCCGTTCAGAGACTGCCTTACCTCCAAGCCCATGCTCCCAACTACCACGTCATATGTAGCTAGGGTTCAGCACATCTGAGAGACGCATTCGCTGCAGCGGTGATCCCCAAATTCAGAGGGCGCAAGCACAGGGCCAGCTTCATGAACATGGCAACCTGTACAGTCACACGAGACCCCGTGCTTGATTCAGTGCTCTGCTGTCGCTGTCTTAAAATTCTTAATAATTTCTGAGCAAGGGGCCCTGTATTTTCATTTTGCCCTGAATCCTATAAATTAGGTCACCTAGGAATTAAGTGATTCTACAAATTCGAATCACTCAGGAGGCATTTTTAATGCAAATTTCCAGCTCCCTTCCTAAGGTTCTAGATCAGGGATAGGTCTCCGTGATTCCACAAGTTTAACAAGCGTCCACAGTTGAGTCATTCTGGACTCCTGAGATCACCCCTTAAACAAGATAGACTCCCAGGCCCGGTGTAAACTCAGCTGTAGTTTCCCATGACGCCACACGGTGGCAGTATAACCCCAGTGTCTGTCAACTGCCAGAGGGTGAGCATTAGGTTTCATATCTCCAAGATCCCTGTCTAGCCATCCCATCTTCCCACACGGGTGCAATTTTGCTTTCCCTTAGCAAAGGTTTCTAAGTCATATTACACATCAGTGTGGTTCTTGTAGCTAGAGCCACAACAGAAGTGCTGCTCACACACCCAGAAAATCCACCTCTTCAGAGAGTTTAGAGTGTGTACAAAGAAGCTATGGGCAAGTGACATGAAACTGGGCAGGGAGATTGTGGCGTCCTCAAGAGCATTCTACAAAAACGTTACAGAAAGGACCGAAGCAAGTTGGCAACCTTGGGGCATGGGGCTGGCATGAGGGCTGAGCCCAGCAGTGGCGCGATGATAATTCCTCCCATTTTCTACGGTCCTAGTTCTCAAAGCACATTCACAACCACCATCTCACATTGATCCCACTCTGTTATTTGAGGCTGAATCACCCTCATTAGACAGATGAGGCAAACCGAGGCTCAGAGAAGACAAGTGACATAGCTCCAGGGCAGTGGAATTCAGTGAGGGGACTGGATTCAAACCCAGGTGTCCTGACTCAAGCATTCTTCTCGTCTCATCCCTGGCTCTGCATTAGAATCACCTGAAAAAACTTTAAAAAGTAAGATATCTACCTGGGGTCCACTCCAAACCAATCAGATCAGAATCTCTGATGGCGGGGCACTGGCATGAGTGTTTGTTTGTGTTTGTTTGTTTGTTTGTTTGTTCAGCGACCCAATCAATTCAAATGTTAGCCAGTTAGGAACCCCTGTACTTCCCTGGAGAGCCAGCAGGGGCTGCCCCACCCCGGGACAGCAACCACCAGCAGCTGACTATGGCTGAAGGGACAAGAGATGGGTGGCGGAACACCCATCAGTGGATGAAATAAAATCAGACTCCAAGTAGGGACTGCGGACCTACAGGGCGCAGATGGGACGGATGCCCACAGCACTGCGGGCTGGGTCCAAGCATCCACCCCGCTTCCACCACAAGGGAGCGGTGTAACTTAAGGTTGAGCAGCTTCTCCGCTGTGCAGTTGGGGCTCCCAGGCCCAGGGCTGTGGGGGGTTGGGCACCTCTGGGGACCTTTTCCTCGCCTATAAAGTGGAGCTAATAATAGCATCTCACTTGTGGATTCATGAAGATTAACCGAATTAATGTACTTCTGGAGCGGCCAGCCACTAGCTGAGGGACCAACTGTCCTGCTGGCCTTAGGCTGGCGCAGCCGGGCACTCGCTGCCTGCGGATCTGTCTGCTTTGCGGGACCTAGTAGTTTTCTACTCGCCGAAGGGCTCATCTCACCCGCGTAAGGGCGCACGTGTCCGCTGCCCCTCCTGAGCCTCCCGTGCCCTTCTCTGTGGCAGGAAGGATTCGGACTCCAGACACGCAGAGGGAGTAACATGAAAGGGAGGAGTCCGCCGCATGCTGCGGAGGGAAAGGGGGTAGCCCGTGGGCCTTCGAACGCTGAGCACGGCTTCCTCCGTGGCTCGTTGCAAAGTGGGGGTGCCCCTGGAATTCACCACGCGTTGAGGGGCCAACAGAACAAAGCGGTGGAGGGCTCACATCGAATTCTGCTTCAGAAGCAAGGCCCACACCTGTGCCCCAGTTCCCCGATCCCCGTTATTCGCTGCTCAGGAGCCGGCGCCTTGGCCCCTCGGAGAGCAGCGCCTTCCTGAGCACGCATGCCCACAGCAGCCCCGCTTTTTCCTTGCGGGGCTGAGCTGACGTCTCCCCTTGTGCCTGTTGCTTCAGGGGCCAGAGCCCCCAGTTCCAGTGTTTCCTCGTTCCCTTTCTCCTTTTGCTGTGTCATCTGAATGTAGGGAAGGGGAAGACAGACACCAGCTCCACCTCTCCTCACCCAGTGCCCACCCAGGGGCGGGAGGGAGGCCAGGGCCTCGGCTGGGAGTCCAGGCAGGAGACACGCTGCACAGGAGGGTCCCACCTGGGTTCAGAACTTTCAAGTTTCCGCAGACCAGAGATCTGCCTTCCTCCTGCCCCATCCTTCTTCCCGTTTTATGAATGGGAAACCGAGGCTTGCCTTTCCCACTTCCCCAGGAATAGGGCAGAGCCAGATGGAAGGAGGCCAGCAAGCCTTGCGGCCTCTTTCCCAGCAGGGGAAGGGGGCAAAGAAAGACAAGCAAAAGACACACACGCTTTGTTTTTCCATCCTTTAATCTTAAGCAAAAGAGACACAGGGGTTCAAAAATAAAAATTTCTTTTTTCCCCCTTCCCAAACCTTTACCCAGATCTGCCTCTGCAACCACCGCTTCCTCCCCAGCAGGGGCTGGGGAGGGGAAGGTGCAGGCCACTCCCGCTGGGAGGAGCAGGGGGCCTGGGAGGGGGGTGCCAAGCTCGGTGCCCGTCTCTTTCCAAATATAAATACACGTTTCAAAACTCCTGGGAAATCCTCCCCCGCCCACCACCCAAGCACTCTGCTCTCGCCAAAGGTGTCTGGAGAGGGGCTGGGGCGTGGGGGGTGCCAGGCACCGGCCGGCTGTGGTTTACTGTACTCCGCGAGCCTCCTGCTGCCCATTGTAGAAGCGATGACACTCGGGGTCCCCGCGGACGGTGGGGGCTCCCTCGATCGGCTTCCCGGTGTTGGGGTTCACGCACCAGCACTCCCCACGCTGCCCGTTCCGAGACATCTTGCACTGAGGAGAGAGAAGAGGAGGCCATGGAGGACATGCCCCCGGCCGCCAGCTTTCCCTTCGACACTCAAGGTTCCCTGAGCAGCAACCGTGTACCCTGAGCCAGCACTGCAGGTTGGTGCCTCTCAACCTTGAATATGAGCCAGGGGATCTGGATAAAATGCCCGTTCAGTCTGGGGTGGGTCCGAAATTCAGTATGGCTCACAAACTGTGACATGACCCTGCTGGCCCAGGGACCACGCTCTGATTAGCAAGGCTGCTGGAGACACCCCAGGATGAAAAGGCTCAGCTCTCAGCTGCAGGAGGCATCCCAGCCCTTAGCGGGGGACCCAGTATACTGGAGTTCAGTCATAGTGTGAGGTGAAAAACGTACGTCATGGTAAAAGTTGATGTAGCACTGGTCCTACTATGTGCCAGACACCATGGAAGCCATCTTTGTGCTGCTCACTTATAGTTTATATCTAACATATATTCATTGAATCCTCACAACAACCGTGTCAATTAGGTACCATTATTTCACCACTTCACAGATGATGATGCAGAGGCACAGGTGCCCAGTGTCACACAGCTAGTAAGAGCCATGGCTGGAGCGCAAATCCAGGCATTCTCCTCACAGGGTCCCTGCTGTACCCACAGATGAATGACTCTGCAAATGCCTCTGGTTCCCCATCAGGTACAGCACACAGCCGTTTTTTTTGTTTGTTTGTTTTTTTATTAGAAGAGACCACTATTTCTTCTTCTGAGCTCCAAACGAGATAGCTGGTTTACATTCAGAGGGCACACGCACAAATAAATAGCTCTTAACACTAGACTGTCATTTACAGGGGCAAGGTACCTATGCTGAAGGAGGTAGGGAAGGGAGATGCCCTCTCCCAGGGATCAGCAAGCCCCATATCCCATCTCCTGGCTCCCGTACACCCACCCTTCACGGCAGTCCTGGCTGCCCACTAGAATCACCACGGGAGTTTTGAAAGTCCCGGTGGCCAGCGAGCACCTCAGACTCACACAAATCCGAAATTCTGGAGGTCAAGATGCCTGCGCTGAAGGAGGTAGGGAAGGGAGATGCCCTCTCCCAGGGATCAGCAAGCCCCATATCCCATCTCCTGGCTCCCGTACACCCACCCTTCACGGCAGTCCTGGCTGCCCACTAGAATCACCACGGGAGTTTTGAAAGTCCCGGTGGCCAGCGAGCACCTCAGACTCACACAAATCCGAAATTCTGGAGGTGCGGCCCTGGCATCTGTGATGTTTTAAAGCAGCCTAGCAGGTCCTGGTGCAGCCAGGGCTCAGAACCGCTGCTTGGAAATGGGAAACTGGACGGCCAGCGCAGCCCACACTCCTCACCCCATTCCCCCTCTGCCTTGAACGAAAGGCACGTATGCTACGTATGCATGCTTGTTCTCCCTAGAGAGGGGACGAGCTGGAGGAGGTGAGGGGTGGGCTGCGTGAAAGGACGACCAATCGATACTGAACAGCCACTGAAAATTATCACAACTCTATGCAGCTATGTGAAAAATACTGATAATGTGGAGAAGAAAGTCTGCATAGGTACACAGATGACTGGAAGGCACAGGAACAGAGGGGAAGGGGCGGGGGAGCGGGGAGGGATCTGAGTGGTTTACTTACACTTTCCTAATTTTCTCTACGGTACTTACAATGCTGCTCTATTACCATTTTTAGAAATATTTTAAGTGGCATGTCTCCAGCTCTGATTCTCCATTCCCTGAGATCCTTGAAAACCAGACAGGCTACTTGGTCAATGGTTTAAATCGGTAATTCTGGAAGTGTGGCCCGTGGACTCTCAGCATGCCCTGGAGCTTGTTAGAAATGCCAACTTTGGTCTCCACCCAACCTTCTGAATGGCAGTCTCTGAGGGTCAGGCCTGAGAGACTGACCCTCAGGTGACTCTAATGCTCAATAAAGGTTGAGATGCATCGGTGGAGGCTCACATTTCTTCTCCAAGAGGCTCCTCCCAACCTGGACACCAAGCACTGCTGGTGGGTGGCTGGATAAGTGGAGTCAGCCTCTGCCAGGCCCCAGGCCAGGGAGGGAAGCCCACCTCGCCAGCCCTGGCAGCTGACACCCCCATCACACCTGTTACAGAAGTCTGGTCTAGCTCCCAGAGCTTGGGGGATTACAGGCGGGAGGGGCAGGAACAAAGTCCTTCTCTCACCTGTTTGAGGTTATACAGGCCGTGCTTGTCACAGTTGGGGATATGCAAGGAATAGAGGTGCTCCAGAGGACCCCGCTCATCCGGAAGACGCATGGTGGAGATCCGCTCCAGGACCTGGTCCAACTCCTGCTGGCAGGGGGTCTGTGGACACAGCCAATGCTTAGAGAATGAGTTCACAAAGCACAGGCCCTGGGAGCAACCTCAGAAAGTAGCTCATGCTTGGGAAAGGACTTCTCCCAGGCCACACAGGTAGAAGATGGGCTTGTGCCCCCCAGCCCAGGGAGCTCACTCCCACATCACTGCGGCCCGCCCACCCCCTAAAGAAAGTCGAACGGATGTGAGTTTTCACTCCTCTCCTTGCTGTGTCAATGGCTGTCAGGAGTAAAGATGAGACCTACTTGCAAATACTGTATTTAAGAAGTTGTCTTTAGATATCTCTACTCCATTCCTTTCCATAAACCCAACCGAGCCCAAGACCCAAGACAGCAGAGCTAGGCTGGCAAGAGGAAGTGGGCAAGCTGAGGAAGGGGAGGACACTGCAGCAAGCGTGAGCAAGTTCAAGTGGATCCATCGTCCTCATCTCTAGCATGTTTTCTTTGCCTGTGTCCCAACGCCAAGTAGAAATGTGGACATTTTAGAAGGAAGAGACTTGAAGAATCCACACGCCCAGTCCATTTCACAGCCAAAGATACTGAGGCCGCCAAGAGATATTAATTGGCTGATTGGCCAGAAGGTCACTGAATATGTTGGGGGCAGAACCCAGAAAGTGCTTTACCTGCAGGCAACACAGGTCATGCCCTTCCCCACCATGAGACTCCCTCCGTAGGTCCTCCCACCCTTCCGACCAGACCCGACCCCCTCTGACCCTGGCAGGTGGCGGCCGAAGCTTCTTGGGCTCCTCCGGGCCGGGGTGCTGCTTGCCGCCTTTGCCCAGCTGGCGGTGCTGCTCGGTGACCTTCTCCCGTAACACAGCCAGCTCCTTCATGCCCGACGTGAAGGGCTTGCGGCCAGCATTGCCTCCACCTCCAAACATGCTCGTGGTCACGTGGTTCTCAACCAGGCCTCCGTCCGCGTGGTCATCGCCATTGTCTGCAGAGAGGAAATGAAGCGGAGTTCCAGGTCCAGTTTCCAGAGTCGGGCCCTCTGGGGCCGTCTGGACCGGGTGATGACGGGACCAGAGAGAACTGACATCTGAGCCATTGTGCTGAGCCATTCACGTGGAGTATCGATGTCGGTCGCACCCGCAGCTCTTACGTGGGCCCTGTCACCACCACCCTTTCTTAAACGCCTGCCATGCTTGCCCTGCTCTGCTTGCATCCCAGGAAGCCGGGGCAAAGCACAGACGAACGTGCCTTCTAGGCCCTCGCCATGGAATACAATTCAGTCCCCTCTGGGGTCTGTCATTCTCCCTAGAAAGACCTCCCAGGGTCACCTTCCACCAACCCCCAATCTAAGGGATCCATCGTTCACGGTCTGAAAGGGCATGGATGCCTAGTCTGCCGAGGGTGAGAAGGTGGGGCCTCGGCACCACCGGAACCTAGTTCCCAACACCCCTGCTGTGGCTCTGCGTTTGCGCGTCTGCCCCTCTTCGTGTTCCCCTGACGCGGTACTCCCACGGCTGCCACAGCAGTACCCCAGTGACCCTTTGTCCCCACGTCTGTCCAGGCACACCACTGCCACCCCCCATTACGACGAGAGCCCCAAGAACAGGAACGATGACCTCAACTTTGAAGCTTCGTCTGATCGCATCCAGACTTTCGTCCAAGGAGCGCCCATGACGTCTCTTCCGGCTTTCTTCAACTGCCAGTTAGTCAACAACAGGGAAAGGCTCCTATCATGTGCACAGCTCAGGAGCAGGGGGGCCTTGGGAGCAGTCCCCGACTACCACGGTCTCACACTGGCTTAGGCGCGTCCAGCCAGGAACAGGCCAGAGGCACAGAATGGGGTGAAAGAGTGAGAACCAGGTAGACAAGGGCCCTGGAGCTCTAGGGGGGGTCAAGGGGCTCAAACAGCCCCTTGCAGACACAACAGAGCAAACCGGGCCACAGACCACACTGCCCAGAGCAGCTCGCCTGCAGCTCCCAACAAGACCTGGGGACGCAGCGGGAGTGTTTCTAAACAGATCATGCACATTTTTTCTTCCCTTTTAATACACGTTCAAAAACTTATAGCCCAAACACGACCAAATGGCTCTTAAAATATTTCTACACACAAGTTTCAGGCTAAGCGCCTAGTATCTGGCAGTCCCTTCAGAAGTTAGGCACAGCATGGTGGCTCAGACGGTCGCTGTTCTGGGCCGTGCTGTATGGTGGAAAGAGCTGGTCCTTACCTCTAAAAGTGGGGCTGTAATACCCATACCCTCTCTGGCATTCACTCACTCACCACCTAAGCGACAAGGCACTCTGTGCCATTGGCGCTGGCGCCTACTTTCACAGAGCATGCTCCAGCAGATTCCAGGTGACAAGCCACCAGCACGGTTCCGACAAACGGAAGCGTTCAGCAGAGGTTTGCTCCCATCCCTCCCCTGCCCGCAGGGCCTGATGCCTGGTCAGTTCTCACTAGCGACAGCAGCATCCCTGTAGAACTCAGTGCATTATCTCCAGACGAGCAAGCACTGGGCAAGAGAGTGACTCGGGTTAAATCCCAGCTCTGCCACTTTTTACAGCAGCTGCATAACCTCTCTGTGTCTCCGTTTTGTTAACTGTAAATGGATAATAATAGATCCTATTTCACAGAACTGTTGAGCATACGTTATAGGTAGAGCACTTAAGATATGGCCTGGAACACAGAAACTATGTCATGGTGGTGGTGGTGTTGGTGGTGGTGATTACTTATGATGATGATGATGATGATGATGATGATGATGGACGGTTGCCTCAGTGAAATGCTACCTCAGCAACGTGGAACCTGACACTAAGAACCAGGACACAGAAAGACAAGCCACCGAGCATCAGAAGAGCTGTCATCACATCCATGCATTGTCAAACTGGGGTGCCTTACTCCCCAGCACATGAAAGAACCCTGGCAGTTCACAGCCCCATTACTCCCCTAAGCCTGCTTCTGGGATGTCTGGTTCCCGAGGCCACCGCAGAATAAAATCAACAAAATTAAAAGGAGAAAGAAGGAAGGCAGGTGGACAGAGGCAAGCAGTATTAAATGGCAGGGAGTAAAGAGGACACTTAAAAAAAAAAGCAAAGTAAGAGCTTTGGGGACATTTAGTCATGGCGAACAACTGTACGCCCATCAGTGACTTCCACATCTTACAGCCCAAAAGACGAGTTTGTGTTGATAATGATGATGACCTTGAGCTGTCCGAAAAGGAAAGGGGGATAACACGTCAAATATTTAACATTAAAAAAAAAAAGATTTCTATTCAAAATTGTTAAATTTTAGAAAAATAAAAATTGAAATATTTAAATGAGTAAGCCTCCTGAAACCCGGAAAATCCTCTCTAGAGAATGGCTACTTCCCCGGGGGCTCTGAGTAGCTTGGGTTTTACCATAAATAAACCAAGCGCAGATTAAATCCGATTCCAGAAGCCCCAACACCACCTGCAGGACAGGCTGATCTGAAGCAACTGCCACCAGACTGGGTGGGAGTCCTATTCTACTCCGTGTGATCAGACCCCCTCCCACCCTGCCCTCCTGTTTCTGCTCCTTGAGGCAAACGCGGCCGAAATCCAGAAGCCCCGGGAGAAGTAGACGCAGTTCCCCAGCTCAGCTGCCCGCCAGGACCCCAGGATGGAGACACACAGCAGCCCTGTCTGGCTGCACAGGTTCTCTCTGTCCCTTCATGTCCACACAGAGCTGCCCTTCGGGACTGGTCAGGCAGGTGGGGCCAGCTGTGAAAGAGACCTCCCCCTTTCCCTGTTCAGATAACAGGTGGAGGGCAGGCAGGAGGCTGGAGGAGACAGGCTTGGGAGAGTCTGAGAAAACCTGGAAAATACATAGGATGTTCTGATTCAGTTCCTCTCCATCTCCTTCATATTAATCTTTGAAGTTCACGAGGCAGATGGCACAGGTGGGGCCAGGCTCACCCGCCTTCTCAGCGCCTCGGTTCTCCTGCCATTTCCATCTCTACAGACTTCTCTGCACTAGACCTGGTGGGACAGTCGCAAGCTCCCTGACCCCACCCCTGAAGAGGCTGCCCAGGGATCACAGGAGGAGAGCAAGGTGCCTAGCCAAGTCCTGTACCCTGCTGCACTGCGGAACCACCCAGGAGCAAATGAGAACAGCCCAGTTGCCCTTGCTCAAACCCCATACCTGAGGTCACCCTTGGCATAACCCCCTCCTCACGGCACCGTGCCCAGCTGTCGGCTTCCTGTGGACAATGTCAAGGAGGATTTCCAGAGATCTCAACACCACGTCCAGTGCTCAAGACTGTGTTCTGTTGACGTGGGATTTAGACAAGACGAGGGCTCTGGGAATCTGCTGACATAGCACACTGTCACCAGCTTCTGGAACCAACCACTCTGCTGTCAGAAGCCTGACTCTCAGAAGCTCAGCTGGCCCCTCTCCTGGGAGGAGGCCTGCCTGCTGGTCCCTAGGCTCAGTAAAGACAGCAGTCTCCACTGTGACTATAATTACATTCTCTGGCTGAAGAAGGGAAGGCTCCACTCACCTGAACCCAACGTCTGAAACACCTTCTGGACCAGGGTCTCCTAACCCCAGCACTACTGACACTGGGACCAGATGACTCTTCATAGGGGCTTGTCCTGTGCATTGTGGATGCTGAGCAGTATCCCAGGCCTCTACCCACTATGCCAGTAGCACCCTCCCCAAGTCGTGGCAATCAAAAATGTCTTCATACATCGCCAAATGGCCCCTGGGAGGCAAAATCGCCCAGTTGAAAACCACTGTTCAGAAGAGTCAGGCATTATCCAGAAGCCTAAAAATTCCCCATCCCAGCGCTGAAGACCTCTGCCCCACATAAAGCAGATCTGAGCTCTACTATATCCTCCCCGACCCCAAGGCTAAGACCCCACCATTCCTTCCATCTCCAGCCGCCCTTCCGGCCTACTAGTCCACCTTCTGGGGGTGGAGGGGTCTTCCCTGGGCATCCCAGAGGACTCAGCATGCTGCTTCCTCTCCTCCGACCTCTCCTGGGCACTCATACCACTGATGGAGCCAAAGATACATCCCTTGGCTAAGTCTGAGAAGTCAGGGCTCAGGACAGAGCCCTCCGTAAGCTCTGGGAACATGTTTGACAAGGTAAAAATACTTAAATGAGTCAGGTAAAAAGGTGCACAGATGAGTTCATTAGGCACAGCAGGCACAGGGCCCAGGGGCCTGGAAAATGTTTCAATTCCTTTTAAAATCAGAAAGGACAATAAGCTTTTAGGTCAAAGAAAACATCTTAATATACAATACTGATGTGTTTGCAATTATGAGGTGCAGTTATAAAATATGATTTTAGAATATTTTTTAATGGGAAAAGGGGCCTACAAAGGCAAAAATGTCTAATGCTGTCCTCCAGGTCCCAGAAGACAAGGGACAGCGTTGGCTTCCTATCCTGAGCTATCCACGACCTCTCTGAGGTGAAGGTCGGTTTGTCCACCCTCACAGAGGTCACCTGGATTCAAGGGTATATCTCATTCCATGCCTTTATTGATCTCATCACTGCCAACGAACATGCCAATTAGATGAGGACATCCACGGGCCTGGTCTGCTGACGTACATGCTGACACTCCACGTCCCGAAGTAGAAGCCCCGGGAAGGAAAAGGAAGTAGCCGGCTGGGTGATCAGAAAGGATTCGAGGCTGCGACAAGCCTTGATTCCCTGACTGTTACCATTCTCAGCCAAAGAGGTTCAAGAATTCAGGCTCCCAAGTCTAATCGCCTGACTGAACCCCAGCTCAACCACTTAGCTGTGCAGCCCTAGATAAGTTACTTAAGCTCTCTGTGCCTCCACTGCTCATCCATAAAACACGGACAAACAGCAGGCACCTCCAATGGGCTGCCAGAAGGATTTCGAGAGACGCTATATGTATTCATGGTGCTGGGCACTCGAGGTTAGCTTTTAGCTGCCCCCATTTCTCCGCCACCCCAATCCTGCTCCCCCAGGGGAAGGAAGTACCCACACGGCCTCCC